CATAAATAGATGTCAAAAATATATGACAAACACGTCTATTGTGTTCCTATTGTTCCCTCTTTTCTAATATCAGCGAAAATTGCGATATAATTGTTGTCAAAATACGATTAATTAACACAAAAAATACTATTTCTTTAGAAAGAAAAAATTTAATTCAAGATACTTTCATTTCTTTTATACAATTTTTACATTTAATTTAATATAAATTCTGATCATATTTTAAATTTAAATTAAATGATAAATAATATGTATATTTTGTTTTAAACGCACAGTACGTTCCCAAAGATGACAGCTTTCACGCCACCAAAAAAGGTATGCATTATTAGATTGTATTTTATTTGTATATAAAGTACATTTATATTCAGAAAGTGTTGTAATATTTATTTGTTTATTTAATAAAATTCAACAATTTTTGAAAATGGAAATTTTAAAATGATCATTTTTATTTTTCACTTTTTGTGCCAAAATTATACTTAAAATTTATGTCATTTTTCAATCGAGTAATTATTTTTACAAAATAAAGAGCCTTAATATAAATTAAAATCACAATTTAATTTTCACAGATTTTGAAAGTAATTATTTGTAATGAAATTTTGCTTTTATAGTGATATTTATTTATGATATAAATTCTGATAATTCGTAAAATATACAGTTTATGTTTGTTTCCTAAAATTCTGTTCGCTTGTGTCCACTACAGCAGAATATTATGTGAATTTCCCAATTGCTTAATCTAATCAGTAAAAGTGATTTTGAATTATTTATACAATTAATGCTAGAAGTAGTAAAAGTAGTTTAATGTTAAACTCATTTAATGAAAAGAGTGGCAAAAGTTTTAATTGAATACTTAATTTGTTGTTAAATACAAAAGCACTGCAAACAGTAGAGAAAAAATATATAATAACTTTGCGTTTAATGGAAATTTCTTAAATGGTTTTTATAGACTGACTGCAAAAACGTGACAAAAAATTTAATAATTACACTAAACATTAAGTTTGCAAATAGGATGATATGGTAGAGATATTGTCTGACAAACTATCAAAATAAATTAGTATAACAAATATGAGACTAAAATTTTTGGTTAATTTTTAATTTTGTTTAATAAGATTAAGACAAGAATCTTATGAAATATATTGTTGTATAAAATACTTAATAAATCAAGGATTTTTTTAGATAATGAATGACTGAATCATTTTAATTGAATAAGAAATACAATTACAAAATGAATGTTAACCCTATGTTTGCAAACTTATTGTGCATTTTTATTGAAGAAAACGGCTTTGAATTAAATTGAATGCAAATGAGAGTCAATCGACTGTTTTTATCACATTTTAAAACTCTAACGCAATCACAGAATATTCTATATTTTATTCTCATTTAAGCCTAAAGAATGTTAGCATAAAAATGGCAAACATATAGTGTCTGTTGTCTATTGTCTATGTTTTATAATCGACACAATGGCGTGTGTTTGCAATATTGTACACTATATGAATGCCGGCACAAGTGATTCGCAAAAGGCTTGAACATTAAAGTCAGTTACAGCTGAAAAAAATGAGAGATAAAACAAAATTAAGTGATTGTCCGTAAAGTAATAACACATATTTTGTTGATTGCATTTCTGGCCTTTTGCTAACTCTTTCTTTCTTTCTTTCTTTCTTTCTCTGTCCGTATGTCACGTCCATTGGTTGTCATAATGACGATAGCCTGCTATCAGGTCAGCTCCGGTGTGATCGCCATATTCGGTCCACAGGAGGACAAGTTGGGCGCTCACGTCCAGTCCCTGTGCGACGCCCTCGACATACCGCACATCGAGTCCAGAGAGCATAACATTCCCATTAATAACGCCAAAGAGTTCTCCATTAACTTACATCCCGGCGCGTATGCCATCTCACAATCGCTCAGACTTTTGGTCAAATTTCTCAATTGGACACAAGTGGCCGTCATCTACGAGGACGACATCTGTGAGTCCCATACATACCATTCAATCATTTTATTTCGTTTGTCATTCTTCTTGTGAACAAATATTTTGCCCAAAATTCTCAAAACAGCTCATTATTAGATCAAAATTCAGTGTAGATTTATTAATATATTATATAATTATAAGTCGTGTTATGTTTTCTGTAAGTCTTTCTCTAACTCTATAAAGTTATGTTTCAGTAGTTGTACGACATATCAGTCTAACACATGCCTTCACTCCACTAACTATTCATGTTTTGCTCTAATCTCCCGACTCTTCAAATATTAACGAAAACATCTCTCCAACATCTCTCTCTCTCTCTCTCTCTCCCTCTCCCTCTCTCTCTCTCCCTCTCTCTCTCCCTTCTCTCTTTCTTTCTTTCTTTTTGCTGACTCTTGAGCTGAAAATCTGTAATTTATAAGGACTGGCACTACAATGACTATAGTAGTGGTGATCTGTTAACTTGAGTTTACAGCGGATTTTTTTTTATGTGACTTCATCTCACAAATCAATACTCAGAGACTCCGTGTGTTATGTTTCGCTAGACATCACTCAATGATGTTTTCACAAAACACTTACAGCTAATTATTTGTCTCCACTTAAGAATTCAAATTCATTTAAATACTCAATGAAAGCAAATGATATTAACATGTAATGACAATAACAATACACTAAATGATTCCTTTATTTATTTATTTTTACATTTATAAATTATAATTATAAATTTCTAATTAAATAACATGTTTGCTGATATATCTTTTAAAAGCATTGATAAGTTTACAAGAATTGGTTCGTTTGCCGCTCCAGAAGAATGTACAGTTTATATATAGAAAAAGTAGCAAGGAGAACTTTCGGGAAACCCTACGTGATCTCAAAATGAGAAATATTTACTCCATTATTGTGGACACAAAACCCGAAAGCCTTCCCCTATTATTAACGGCCGTAAGTATTGATTATATTATTGACACTCAATTAAAATTCATAAAACCCTACGTGATCTCAAAATGAGAAATATTTACTCCATTATTGTGGACACAAAACCCGAAAGCCTTCCCCTATTATTAACGGCCGTAAGTATTGATTATATTATTGACACTCAATTAAAATTCATGTTTTATGTTATACAAGTTAGGAAAAATTCACTCCCTAATTATGTTTAACAAATATTTGATTTGAGATTTTTTTTTGTATTATAATTATATTTTTATGTTTTCATGCGATGAATATTATTGCTAACCTGTTCTCCAAACATAATCTAAATGTAAATGTGATCTCGAATTTGCATATAATTTCAATACTAGACACATAAATACACAATTGACGGGCAATTAATTAAAATAAAAGCAGAAAATTAATTTAAATATTTTTTATTGCTATTATTATTATGTCACAGCGTTTTGCATACTTGTGTTACACACTCTACTGTATTGTATAAGAGAATACATTTATAAAATACTGATTCTTTGTAATTAGTTTTATGTAGAGTAAACTATATTTTTTTATATCAAATATTTTTGTAATTTTGTGTCATAAAATATTTGATATAAAACACAATAAATTAAATAAATGCTAATATAATTTATATTTCCATCGGCTAACAGATACTTCAGGTGCAGATGAATGAATACAAATATCACTATCATTTCACTACATTTGTAAGTATTAACTAATTACATATTTTTACACGTTTTGACATGTTTTGTATAATACATGTTTTTGTTTCAATATTTGCACAATAATAATAAAATTATTGATTATTATTTAATTATAGCAATTATTAGAGTAATTCAAACAATTGTTTTAGTCTTTCTTCTTCTTACTACCACTGTCTGCACTCTTTCATATATAACTCACATTAAAGTAATTCAATACATATTCTTGTGTTAAAAGAGGAGAAATAATTTCCAAAAGAAATCATCCGCTCATTCACTACCACTCATAACAATATCGCAATTATTGATCCAATGGTTCACTTATACCATAAATAATAAAACAGAATTAATTTTATGATATATTACTTATTGAAGGGGAATAACATTGAATGCAGAACTTGTTTTCCTCTTCTCTCTCATTCATTAATTTAAATTTTTTAATATATATTTTTTTCGATGAAATCTTATTTTTGATGTCAAATGTGAAGAATATTCTTTTGTGGAATTATTTATTCACAAAAATCTATTGATTTTAAATCTGTTTGGTTGAACATTAACTTAAAATCTTTTTTCTTTATTATAATTCTAATGTTTGCATGAATTGTGTAAACATATGAATGAATGACAGGATTTGGAAACTTTCAATTTGGAGGACTTTAAGTACAACTATGTGAATATGACTGCCTTCCGATTAGTCGATTCCGACAATCCATTAGTTAGACATACGCTCAGAGATATCGAGCGTTTCCAACCGATCGGCAATAATATACTCAACAAAAGTAATGTCATTCAGGTATCGGAAAAGTACAGCTCTGTTTCACTCACTTCTGTTAGCAATTCCCTCTTCCCTTCCCTTTTGTCCACTCCTTCTCTCTCTCTCTCTCTCTCTCTCTCTCTCCTTCTTTTATATCATATGATATTCTTATATGATATCAATGTATCGATTGAAGCAATGGATTAAACAATAATTAGCGATACAATTGAGAGTCGTCTTCAAATGCTCGCTCCCATCAATGCTCTCTATATCCATGCCTTTTAGTGATGAAACCCTTCATTGAATAAAATCGATAGCAATATAAAAAAAGAGACAAAAACTGCTTTTATATACACATCGAAAGGAAGAAAAAACTGATAGGAAATGGGAATGAATAGAGAGGATGAGAAGGGAGCGGACATTAACGGCAACGAATCCATCAAAATCTTAATTTAATTTGAGCGCCAAATGTGATGTAATTAAAAAATCTAATCTCTATTTGAATGTGTATTGACTGATAGGCCGGTCCGGCGCTGATGTATGACGCGGTGTACGCTCTGACCCGAGGTTTGCATTCATTGCAACAAAACTCTCCATTTCTGTTGAGATTCCCGAACAACGCTTCGTGTGATTCAGAGATTTCATGGACTGACGGCTCATCTCTTTTTAATTATATCGATTCCGTAAGCATTTTGTATATTAAACTCATATATTATTATTATTATATAACNATATACAAAATGCTTACGGAATCGATATAATTAAAAAGAGATGAGCCGTCAGTCCATGAAATCTCTGAATCACACGAAGCGTTGTTCGGGAATCTCAACAGAAATGGAGAGTTTTGTTGCAATGAATGCAAACCTCGGGTCAGAGCGTACACCGCGTCATACATCAGCGCCGGACCGGCCTATCAGTCAATACACATTCAAATAGAGATTAGATTTTTTAATTACATTACATTTGGCGCTCAAATTAAATCCAGATTTTGATGGATTTGTTGCCGTTAATGTCCGCTCCCTTCTCATCCTCTCCTGTTCTCGATTTCTCTTCCATTCCTTATCTAAATATTAGATTGAAATGAAAACCAAAATCTAATTAGAATTAATGGAAGCGAATATAGAGATGAGAATAAATGTTGTTTTTTTTTGGTGTGAGAAGTGAACGCAAATAATTATATAGAAATTCATAATTCATTGATATGTGTGTTAATGTCATGTTTTGGTGTGTCGTCGACACAACCGATAGGTTTTATTCATGTGGAGATTTTTCTACAAACGAGTCAAATGTTGTTTATATAGCGATGTTATCGCAAGGAATATCATATTTAATATCAGTATTATTGTGTTATAAACGTAGAGCCAAACACGAGTATTGCTTGATTTAAATACATTTGTGTTTTGTTGTTTTTATTAAATATTTTTCCACATATAAATAACGATGATTTTCATTAACAACTCTATGAAAATCTATTTTTAGTTTAATTTAAAATTCTTGTTATGAAAATATGCTGTGAGTTAATGGCTAGAAATGTGCACTAAAAGTGAGAATATATTTCAAAACATTGTTTTATTATATTAAATATGAAAATATCTCTGCAATCAAAATGACTTTTAAGCGTTAGATTAAGACAATAAAAGGGAAGAAATATTATAATTTGCATATATTTTATGTTTACTCTTATGATTAAAAAAAATGTCCATTAAATTGATTGAAATGTTTCTTTTAAAACGGATTACATTTCTTGCGCTTCACTTTATGCACACAATGTCTATAAAACTTTTGTTTAAGTATTAAAAAATGTAATACATTTAGAGTTAATAAAATTGAAGTAAGTATTTAATATTTAACGTTAAGTATATATCGAGTGAAAACTTTGTTTTTTGTAAATTTAAATTTATATATCATTTATGACATATATTTTTATGAATATAGTGTTATAGCGTTAGTAATCCTTATGGAGAGCAACACAACAGCTCTGATGAGGATTAGGAGGCAGTGAGAGGATGGGGAGAGACTCAGAGAGGATGTCATTTAGGAAATAGAAACTGTCTTTACATTTAAACCTTTTTATATCTGCTTTTCTGTGCGAAAAGTTCTCATAAATTCGCTAATAAATCATTTTACTGAACATTTCTGTTGCTTTATGTGGCAATTTTTTTGTGTGTAACATTCTAGCAATTATTAACGTATTTTTATGTAAATTATTATTAATTAATAAAAATTCTTAATTCAAATATTTACTGAATTACACAGTATATAATACAAAATAAATAAATGTTTATATAACATTTGAAAAACAAAATTGGCACAACTAGTTTATACTAATTTATACGATTTTTTTAACGAATATATTTACAAATATGATATGAAAATGAAACTGCATTTATTAATTTACATAATGGTGAAAACCATTTGTCTCTAGCTATTGTGGATCCGGAGATAATCTCATCTGAAAGAGTCATCCTCCAGACTTCGTTTGGACGTGTGATTCAATGGGTTTTTAACTAAAATAAAAATCAATTGTCATGTAGTTATGCTATAATATGGCAAATATTTTTTCTATTAACATATAGTACATGAAATTTATTTGAAATTTAACGCTAAACATGATAGCATTATTAACTTTTTTATATCTCGAATATTATTCAAGTTATTCGACTTAGAACTCTTGTTCGAAAAATATGTTTGCGTAATGTTTAGATATTATATATCAATTTGATGTAAAATGTAGTAAAATTTCTAAAAATATGCAGTAAGAGTTAGGTATTTGTATGAGATATCATATGAGTTGAATATACAAAAAGTAACTTGTATATATTTTAATTTTCCGACAGTAATTTATTTATAATTAAAAACTAATTTTATATTATTTTCCAAACGAACTCTGGAGGATGACTCCTTCAGATGAGATTATCTCCGGATCCACAATAGATAAAGACAAATGGTTTTCACCATTTTGTAGATTAATAAATGCAGTTTTATTTTCATATCATATTTGTAAATATATTCGTTAAGAAAGTTGTATAAACTAGTATAAACTAGTATAAACTAGTTGTGCCAATTTTGTTTTTCAAATGTTATAACAAAAAGTGTCCTTAAATAGATCAATAAGACTGTAAGATCTATTATATTCACGACTAGAGATTTGTATTTGATTTGATTTTTAGTTTAAAGTTTGAATTTTACATATAATTTAATAAATATGAGATTTGAAGGCAATCTATTGTGAATGCAATCGAGTATTTGAATGGAGTATCACTTAAACGAACGTTTGGT